CTCTCTCCCTCACTCTCACTGTCTGCACTTCTCTCTCCAAAGCCTTCGAGATTCTGCAAACCACTTCGCCCCTTCTCATCCTGAAGGGCCAGGCTCTGCGGCTGCTCTGTGCTGCTGACAGCAACCCCTCTGCAGCACTGAGCTGGTTCCGGGGGTCCCCAGCCCTGAATGCCTCCCCCATCTCCAGCACCGCGATCCTGGAGCTGCCTCGAGTGGGGACTGCAGAAGAAGGAGAGCTCACCTGCCAAGCTCGGCACCCGCTGGGCTCCCCAAGTGTCTCTCTCAGCCTTTCTGTGCAGAGTGAGTTGCAAGCCAGGTGCTGTGGGCAGGCAGGGTGCTGGGATTGGGACTGTGGGGGGCACTTGCAACTGACACAGATCACCCTCTGTTGTGTTCCCCAGGAAGCCCTCCTTCTTGCAGATGTGTGACTGAGGAGCAACAGGGCTCCTGGCCCCTGGTCCTCACCCTGATCAGGGGGTCCCTCATGGGGGCTGGCTTCCTCCTCACCTATGGCCTCACCTGGATCTGCTACACCAGGTGAGCAGGGCTGTTGCTGTCCAGGGAAGTCTGGTGATTGGCCTGAGCTCCAGGTGTGGCTGAGCTGCCCCTTCCTGCCTGGAGTGAGAGTTCAAGTGGCAGGTTCTCTGAGCTGAGACTGGGTTGGCTCTGCAGGTGTGGAGGCCCCAGAGAACAAGGCCGAGATACTGACTGAGCCCCCTCCTCCTCAAAGGAAGCCCAGCGGGACAGACGTGGGACACCAATGTCAGCTTCTCCCTGGAAACTCTTGACTCACATCCTGTCGCAGTTGTACCCATGGCATTTTGATTTGTGGAGGTGACTGAGTGACGGCATGGTGAGTCAATGGTATTGAAAGAAGATGTTTCTTACTTACATTTTCTTCTGTTCTTTTTTACCTTTGCCAAGCCAAACAAGGCCACGGGTAAAGCACCAGGTTTGGTCAGGAGGCAGGAGCAGGTGAGGGGAAGGCCTCCTATGAGCCTTTATTGGGGATTCCGTAAGAAATCCAAGGCAGGGCAAGGCAAACAGTCTAGTGTCAGCTCATTGCAATGATTCTGGGCGGCTTTGACTCCTAAGGGTTGTCTGTAGTTGTCTGTTTCTGTGGTTCTGGGTGATTTAGGGCTGCTTGGGGGTGAGAGTTAGACAAAGGAGGTCACTGGGGGATATGTGCTCAGGATTGGTTGCTTTGCATCTGAAAGGCTGCAGCTGGCTGGACCCTTGGATGTCTCTAAGAGTCTGTTACCCAGGGAGGGGCTGTCTCCCTGGCCAGCAAGCTTTTTAAGATGTCAAAACTTCATAAGGTACAGAAAATAAAACACAAGCAACACAGCTCCACTGACTGTCCCTTGTTTCTGCCCATGCCTCTCCCCTTTGACCCACCCTCTCTCTCCGCTCTGATGCTGCTCCACTCATCCCCGCCACCCCAGTTCCTCTCTGCCCATCCCCAGGCTCAGGAAGGTAGTGAACTTGGGGCCTTATCCTCCTATTGCCCAGAAGTTCCGTGGTTAACACCTGAATATCTGGTCTCCCAAACTTCCCTATCAACACACATCAATACACAGTAGAGTCAGCAGCTCAGGTCTTCTTTCCAGGTTTAAAGATGCCTGCCTCATAATGGTTGTTATAAATTATCCCAACATGTAATTATAAATAAAAGTTTTATTAAGTAATACAACAATGACATTGAATTTACTGTTTAGTGTCTGTTGGAGTTTCTAGATCCAAATTATTTCTGAGTCCTCTATTCCTCTTTCTTTAACCTGTTTCAAGCAAATTTTTTGTTTACTCACTGTTTTTTGAAGCCTTACTTAAATTAAGTAAAATATACAAAGCCAAAGAGTTCAATTAGGTCCATGTTTCTATATGTACACACCCTGCTTCCACCACCAAGCTCAACAAACAGACTCTTTCCACCTACCCCTGCTGGTCAGGTCAGGCTACAGGAAAGACAGAAGGGGCCTTAGCTGAGGCTGGATGTATGAGAGGTGGGCGGGCAGCTCAGGTGATGTGTCAAGAACTGAGGCAGCCTGGCACGTGAGGGGAAATGCACCTACATGTGCACCTATGTGGAGGACCAGGAGCACCAGACATGATGATGGTGGCAGACAGGCACGGTCAGATCATCTATGTGTGGTGTTCTTCCTGTCCCAATTATAAAATCTTTGCCTATTCCACTATCTGAGAGATCTTTCCAAATAAGGTCAAATTCATTAATTTTGTTTTTAAATGATCCCATAGTATCATTTATTTTTTTGCGCTACAGTTGAGTGAATTTTAAAAATATATAGATTTGCTTAATCAATGCCACCAGAATTAGAATGCAGAATAATTCCATCACCCCAAATGTTCACTCGTGCTAGTCCTTTTTGTTGCACCTTCCAAACAACCTTAATCCTGGCAACCACTGATGTGTCCTGCATAACCATAGTTGCGTCTTTTCAAGATTGTCATATAAGTAGGTCATGTGCTGTGTAGTGTTTGAGACCAGCTTCTTTAATTCAGCACAATGACTTTGAGAGTGAGCATAGTTCATTTCTTTTCCTTGCCCAGTAGTCTTCCATTGCACAGCAGCACCCCGTTTCTTTATTCATTTGCCCGTGAAGTACATTTGGGCTGTTTTCAGTTCTTGACAATTGTGACTAATGCTGCTACAAGCATTCATGTACAAGTTTTTGTGTGGACATATGTTCTCATTTCCCTTGGATAGATTCCTCAAAGTGGGATTACTAGGCCGTGGGGTAAGTTTATATTTAACTTTCTGAGAAACGGTCAAACTGTAGTTTGTGCTTTTCCTGCGATTGCTCCATGTATTTAAGGTTTTCAGTTTTTGTACCTGGAGGTGCTCATAGTAATCCCATATTGTCTTTTTAATATGTGTTTGTAGGTAGTGATATCACCTCTTGCATTCAGAGTATTGATAGTTTGTGTCTTCTCACCTTTTTTTAATCGTGTAAACCGTGTTAGATGTTTGTCAACTAGATTGGTATTTTTAAAGCACCAGTGTTTATATTTATTGTTATGAAACTGCTTTTCTGTTTACAGTTTTATCGATATCTGCTTTATCCTTATTATCCTTCCTTCTGCTTGCTTGAGAATAAAGTATATGTTGCAGTCTTGGGTGTAATGTTTTCTATGTATAACTTCGGTCAAGTTGTCTTATTATTTTCAAATCTTTTCTATCCCCAACTGGTTTTACTTTATTTTATTTTTTTGCTTATTCTACTAGTTACTGAGAGAGGTAGATCCATCAACTTGTGCTTGTATATTTTGAAACTATGTTATTAGGTGCGTATAAATTTAGAATTATTATATATTCTTGTTGAACTGAACTTTCTCTTTAGAAGTACTTCTTGCAGTTATTACTACAAGTATTTTGGGGTACCGTATACATGTCATATCCTTTTCCAGTCTTTGTTTTCCAATTATCTTGCACTCTTATGGTTAAAGAATGTCTGACAAATAGCTTATGTTCTTTTTGAAAATCCAGTGTGGCAATCTGTGTTGTATTTAGATTGTTTGGTCTTATTAGACAATGTAATTACTGATATAGATTGATGTAAGTCAATCCTATTTTTAGTTGAAGTCTATTTGCCTTGTTTCTTTTTTTTTTCCTTAAAAAAACTTTCTTTGTCTTGTTTTAGATTACTCGCTTGTCTTTTATTAATCTATTCTTTTTCTGTATTAGTTTATGTTTATGAAATTTTATTACTTATAGTTGCCTACTTATTAACATATACATCCTTGATATATTGCAATTGTTCTTTCATTGGTAATGTTTTCTATTCTTGAATCATGAAAAATTTCAACACTTCAGACACGTATATTCATCCTGTCACTATTTGGATTATAACTGTCATATATCTTACATCTATAAATGTGATAAATTTCACAGAACATTATAATTCTTTTGATTTTAAAAATGAGTATTTTGGGCTGCCAGGCAGCTCAGTTGGTTACACCATGTGCTCTTAAAACAAGGTTGCCGGTTCGACTCCTTCATGGGATGGTGTGACCCCTGCAACTAGATTGAAAATGGCGACTGCACTTGAAGCTGAGCTGTGCCCTCCACACTTAGATTGAAGGAGAACAACTTGACTTGGAGCTGATGGGTCCTGGGAGAAGCACACTGTTCCCCAATAAAAATTTTTTTAAAAAAAAGCATTAAAAGAGAAACAATAACATCACGTATTTTGTTTTAGATAAGTGTTTTCCAAGATTTACTGAGATATTATTGAAATTTATCACATGTAAATTTAAGTTGTACAATGTGATGATTTGTTACACATATATATTGTGAAATGATTACCACGATAAGCTTAGGTAACACTTCCATCCTCTCACATAATTACCATTTGTAAATGGTTATAACATTAAAGATATACTCTGAAATGAGACTATCAATTATAGTCACCACACTGTACATTAGATCCCCAGAACAACCCATCTCATAGCTGGACTTTTGTACACTTTACTAACATCTCCCCATTTCCTTACCCCTAGTCCCCGGCAACCACCTTTCTACCCTTCATTTCTATGAGTTCAGCTATTTTAGATTCCTCATATAAGTGAGAACAGATGACATTTAAATAATGAATATTTTGAAAAATTACCCCTGGAGTTATGATTGTTTCATGCAATTCTATGTTTCCATCACAAAATCATTTTCCTCTACACAAAATTAACTCAAAATGTATTAAAGACATAAAGCCCCAAAAACGAACACTCTTAGAAGAAAACATGGGGGAAAACGTCATGACATTGCCACTTACAAACGTTTTGCCACTTACGTTCTGGTTCTCTATCCAAAGGTACAGACAACAAAAGCAAATATAGACAAAGGGGGCTATAGCAAACTTAAAATTTTCTGTGCATAAAAGGACACAATCAACCGATTGCAACGACAACCTAAGAAATAAGAGAAAAAATGTACCCAAGAAGGTTTGATATCTTGAATATGTAAAGAACACCCACAAACCAACATCAAACCCCCTAATAACACAATTTAAGAATGGGCAAATGACTTGTGTAGACATTTCTCCAAAGATGATATACAAAGATGATATTGGCCAGTAAACATATAAGAAAATATTCAACATCAGTAATCCTAAGAGAAATGCAAGTCAAAACTATAATGAGGTATCACCTCACACCCTTTAGGGTGGTTAGTATAAAAAAAAACACCAACAGAAAATAACAAGTGCCTGGGAGAATGTGGAAAATTTGGAACTGTGCACATTGAGTGGGATTGTAAAATGGTGCAGTTGCTATGGAGACCAATATGGCAATTCCTCAAATAATTAAAATTAGGTGTAACAGTCTCACTTCTGATTATATATTCAAAAGAAATGAAAACAGAATCTCAAAGAGATATTGACACACCAATCTTTACAGCAGCATTAGTCACAAAAGTTAGGTTGTGTGAAACCAAATGTCAATTGATGGATTAACGGATCAACAAAATGTAATATGTCTTAGTCCGATCAAGATGTTGTAGCAAAATACAACAGACTGGGTGGCTTATAAATAGCAGAATTGTATTGCTCACAGGAATGGAGGCTGAAGTTCAAGATCAGGG